GAGTATGATTTTAAGATCCATCCATTTAGCTCTGTCTCAAGTTTATCCTTCTTCATGGCTCAGTAGTATTCCATTGTATTAAAAAAACTACATCTTTTCAATCCTTTCATCAGTTGATGGACATTTGGGTTTTTTCCAAGATTTATAATACAAATGGTGCTGCTATAAACGTGGGTATGAATATATCACTGTGGTGTGATGGTTTTAATTGTTTTGGAAAGATACCAAGAAGAATAGCTGGGCCAAATGGTCTCTCCAGTCCTACTTTTTCTTTTTAGGAATCTCCACACATATTTCCACTGTGGTTGCACAAGTCTACAAGACCAACAACAGTTGCCAACGGTTTCTGTTTCCCCACAGCCCAACGGGGATTTGATTTTTTGGCAATAGCTATGCTTTCTGCAATGAAATAGAGTCTGAGCACTGTTTTAATTTGCATCTCTCAAAATATCAGTGATGTTGGACATTTTCTCATATATTTATTTGCATTTTGTACTTCTTCATCTGAGAAATATGTGTTCATTTCACATGCCTTTTTGAATTGGGTCTTTACATTTGGGGGATCTGATTTGTTCCATTCTTTATGTGTTTTAGATATTAGTGCTTGTCTGAAGAATAACTGGCTAAGATTTTTTTCCCACGCTGTGTGTTGTCTTTTCATTCTGATTTCTTTTGCTATACAAAAGTTTTTTTTTTCTAAGATGAGATCCCAGTTGTTGATTCTTCATAGTATTTCCAATGCCATTGGGGTTTTGTTCATAAAGTCTCTCCACACACCAATGTCTTCAAGAGTTCTACATATTTTCTCTTCCAGAAGATTTATGTCTCTGATTTAATATTTACATCTTTGATCCATTTTGTTTGAGTTTAGTGCATGGTGATAGCCATACATCTAGTTTTTCAAGCCTTGTTTACTAAAGCAAGCATCTTTCTTCCAGTCACCATGTTTGGCCCCTTTCTCAAAGAAAAGGTGGTTGAGTGTGTTTGAATTTGTTTCTTTATCTTTTAATTTGTTCCTTACCAGTACCATGCTGATTTTGTCACAGTAGCTCTGTAGCATAATTTCATTTCGGGAGCTGTGATACTCTACCTTAACTTTGTTGCCTAGAATTGTTTTTCTATCCTAGGTATTGCTATCCTAGGTATCTTCTAGTTCCAAATAAATTTTGGGAATGTTTTTCCTAGTCTTGTAGTATGTGCTAGTGATATTTTGATTGGGTTATCAGCCTTATCAAAAGGAAAGAAAACACTCAAATTCATACATTTATGACTGAATGATAAAAGTGAAATCAGAATGGAATATTTGGAAATTCAGAGGATCATCAATACCTACATACCTTCACTCTAATAAAATGTAAAATAGAAGAAATGGGACAGAATCCTAGGTATATATGAATTATCAAAATAGAATCAAGAACGTATGAAAATTCTACGTACCCCAACACCCATCATCGAACTTGAAAATGTAATTTAAAATTTATCAACAGTGAAAAGCCCAGGTCCTGATGGATTCACTGATGAATTTTTCGAGAACTTAGAGATCTAATGCCATTACTAGCCAGATTTTTAATTAAGTTGAAAAGGAAGTACTACTCCCAAAGTCATTCCTGGAACAAAACTGCGAAGGATTCAACCAAAAATAATAAAGACAAGCCAATCTTCCAAATGAATAAAGACACAAAAATCCTCAATCAAATACTATTTTCAGTCTTTTGAAGTGCACAAATTTAATTTTTAGGAAATTCCGTTTACGTATTTCTTTCTCTGTTAGAATTAGTAATTTTGTAACCTCTCTGTATAATGTTTGACTACAAAGGTCACAGAAGGCTTATGGGTTTTATTTTTTAAAGAAGCTTTACAATTTTTGCTTATATATTTTACCTGTATTATATCAATCTCTGTCCATTCTCATGATAGGTATAG